GAAAGTTTTGCAATGAGGTTTGGCTTTATATGGGGTTTAATACTATTACCGAGTTAGTTTGGAGTAGTTACTGTGATCGAAAATGGTGCTGCGAGCATGCGAGTTGTGTAGTATGTTACGTGATTATATCTGGGATTATGGTTATGGCTTGATACAGCTTGTTCAGACTCATACAATATGTAGATGTGAGATTCGATTCTTGAAAAGAAACTCTGAATGTTTGAAATTGAATTCCAAGGTTGATGGGCTAAGGTTGAAGTAATGATCTTCCATTACGTGGTATTGTCACACCTATATGGAATAGGGTGGCATGGGATCACCCCCGGGTATGTGCATGGTAAGATGGAATAGTGATGTGATGGCTTGGAAACAACTCTTGGCACGTTCGAAGACGAACGTATGCTTAAGTAGGGGAGAATGTAACGACCCGGCCGGTCGTTTTGAGTATTTCAGCCCTGTTCCCCTATTTACTGCTCAATTTATGCTTTACAATTGTTATGTGACTTGTCGGGGTGATTGGTTCGGGTCCGGTAAGATTTTGGAATGAATTGGAATACTTAGTTCCAAGGTTTAAAGCTTAAGTTAAAATAGTGACCGGATATCGACTTATGTGTAAACGACCCCGGAATAAAGTTTTGATGATTTCAATAGCTCTGTATGGTGATTTTGGACTTAGGAGCGTGTCCGAAAAATTATTTGGAAGCCCGTAGCTAAATCAGGCTTGAAATGGCTAAAATAAAAATTAAAGTCGGGAAGTTTGACCGGTGGGTTGACTTTTTGATATCGGAGTCGCAATCTAGTTCTGAAAATTTTCATAGCTCTGTTATGTCATTTATGACTTTTGTGAGAAATTTGAGGTCAATTGGACTTGATTTGATAGGTTTTGGCGTTGAATGTAGAAGTTGGAAATTTTTAGTTTTATTAAGCTTGAATTGGGGTATGATTTGTAGTTTTAGCGTTGTTTGATATGCTTTGAGAGTTCGACTAAGTTTGTATGATGTTTTGGGACTTGATGGTATGTTTGGTTGAGGTTCCGGGGGCCTCGGGTGAGTTTCGAATGGTTAACGGCTCGATTTTTGAATTTGGAAGACTGTTGAAGCTGAAGCCTTCTGGTGCAATCGCACCTACGGAACATTGGTTACAGGTGCGAGCTGGGATGCGCAGGAGCAGAGATAGCGCAGATGCGAAAGGAATTTCGCAGGTGCGGACTCGCACCTGCGCGTGGAGGATCGCAGAAACGACATTTGGCTTGGGAACCGTTGGTCCGCAGAAGCGGATGTTTTTGCGCAGATGCGCACCCGCAGAAGTGGGATTTTGACCGCAGAAGCGGTGCCGCAAAAGCGGCTAAGTGTCCGCAGAAGCGAAAATCCTGGACATAATGTTAAAAACAGAGGAGTCCGAGATTTTTGTCATTTCTAATATTTCCAACACGGGTTGAGGCGATTTTTGAGCGAGAAATCATGGGAAATCTTGAGGTAAGTCACTTGTGATCATTTATACTCCATAATATTGAAGTATCATCGAATAATCCGACTAGATTACGTATTTTTTAGGTGTAAATCGGGAATTTGAACCTAGGGATTTGAAAATAAGATTTGAGGATTTGGAGGTCGAGTTGATGTCGGAATTTGGTAAAATTGATATGGTTAGACTCGTGGTTGAGTGGGCTTTCGGAATTTATAACTTTTGTCGGGTTCCGAGACGTGGGCCCCACGGGGGATTTTTGGGTGAATTTTCGGATTTTGATGGAAAAATTGTATTTTCATATGTAATTAATTCCTATAATTTGTTTTGACTCAATCGAATTATTTATGACTAGATTTGAGACGTTTGGAGGCCGATTCACGAGGGAAAGGCATTGCAGAGTAAAGAATTGCACGGTTTGAGGTAAGTAACACTTCTAAACTTGGTTCTGAGGGTATGAAGCCCCGAATTAAGTGTTATATAAATTGTTTGGATATGACGCATATGATAGTTGACGAGCGTATGGACGTGCACCATTGAAATTGTGACTTGAGTAAGTTCTCTGAAGTTGTAAAAATTAAAGAATCTTGTTATTATCCGAATATTTTCCATGTGCTAGAGAAATTGAGTTGAGGCTCTTATTAAAGATCATGTTTAGGTTACGTGCCGATATTTTGGGACCCATGAGGTCGTGTTGCTATTAAATTAATTATTTTAAAAATGTATATTTCACGCTCAGTCATATTCATCTATTTTGAGGATATTTATGGGATCGAGTTGTGCGTCACAGCAAGCCATATTGGCTTTATATATATTATTATTAAATGGATCGGGGCTGCCCGCCTGCAACAGGCCTTATAGGCTTTACTATTATATGAATGGGGGATGCCCGCCTGCAGCAGGCTTTATAGGCTTTACTATTATATGGATCGGGGCTGCCCACCTACAGCATGCCTTATAGGCTTTACTATTATATGGATCGGGGCTGCCCACCTACAGCATGCCTTATAGGCTTTACTATTATATGGATTGGGGCTGCCCACCTACAGCAGGCCTTATAGGCTTTATTATTATACAGACCGGGACTGCCCGCCTGCAGTCGGCTTTATATCACGCTTGGGCTGAAGGAGCCTCTCCGGAGTCTGTACACAGTCTAGTGAGCGTAAATAATTATATATTAGGGATGGACTTCCCAGGGCATGGACTTGCATTACTTATTTATATTGTAATGAATTTCTCTGGACATGGATCTTGTCCGTAACATTTATATTTGGGGATAAATTTTTTCAGGGTTGGATTGGCCTTATACAGTACTGAGTGACTGAGTGTTAGTCGATGTGTATATATATACGGGATGCAATATCCCTGGGCTAGATTGGCCATAAACAGTACCGAGTGACCGAATGATTTGTGACCAGTATTACATGAGATCTTTCCACTGAGATGACATATTTCTCATATCATACAATATTGATCTATTGCACTTGTACTATGTTTAACTGCTGAACTTGAAAATATGCCTACATTTCTGTACCATTATTTATGCTGGACTGTACCTGCGGAACTCGTCACTACTTTCAGCCCGGCGGTTAGTCATGTTACTTATTGAGTTGGTTGTACTCATACTACACTCTGCACCTCGTGTGCAGATTCAGGTGCTTTCGGACACGGCGACTGTTAGATCTCAGAGTGCTATCAGTTAGAGACTATCAAGGTGCTGCCTGGAGTCCGCTGACCTTGACTTTCTTTCTCTCAGTTATTGTACTGTTCTATACTTTCAGACAGTGTTCTATCAGTCAGACTTTGTATTCATATTAGATGCTCATGTACTCAGTGACACCGGGTTTTGGGAATGTTTATATCTGTATTTTGTGAGTGATTTTCCGCTGAATTTAGTTATTATATTTTCAAACTTCAAAGATATGGTGGTTTATTGAGATTGTCGGCTTGCCTAGTATTGAGATAGGCGCCATCACAACAGGTGAGATTTTGGGTCGTGATACTTTTTCCCACTGGATATTTCCTAATAAAGTTTTAACGAGGCACATTATCTTTTAAATAGACATCCAAAGGGGAGTGTTATGAATTCAATGAATTTGTGTGGATGTCCATTCATTCTTCTATGGATCCCATTCAATGAACCCATATACTTATTGAATATTTCATTAAAATATTGTAACTTTCAGACGATTTTACACCCTATAAACGGGACTTTACCTTCTGTATTATGAGATACTTAAATGAGAAATATTTATATTCTCTTCTTTTCATTTCTTCTTTTATCTCTTCTTATTTTATAACATTACTCTATTTTTTATGTAATAATTCTTCTTCAATATGTTGCAAGTTTATTCTTTATAATGTTGGTACGTGACATTATGGAACGACAATAAATAATATAATATATCCAAAAATTATAAGCATCAAACAATATAATACATTATAATACAATACGATACATTATTAAACAACATCTAATAACAATTCAAACAAGCTGTAAAGGAATAAAGTGAAAAACTCTTAGAAATGGGTAAAGAAAAAAGGCTTTGGGGGACAATTGGGGTGGCTGAGATGGTGGGCCAACTCGAAAGGAAGAACAAATAATAACATTACAAAGAATCTTGTAGTATTTGACTATATTGCCGCCCTTTCTTCTTTCCGTTTGCCGTAGTCCCGCTGTAACGCTCTTTCTATTCTAAATTCTAATTTTGATATACACCGATGACCGATATACAATAGGTTTTTTGGGAAAAGAAAAGGAGGTGAAAAGAGAAGAAAAGAAAAAGTTCTATATCACCGACATTTTGGTCAACGAAACTTTAGAGAAATTAATTTAAAAAATCAATGAATTAGTGCACCAAAATTTTAAAATCAAAGTACATAACATTTAACTAAATAATAAAAAGGCTTGTAATAGAATTATGATTTTATAAATCAAAACTAACATAAAAAAATAACAATTTTTTTACTAAACATTATGCAAGTAATTTCTTAATATTTTCCACATTTTACTTTATTTATTGTAGTTTGACTTGACACGATTTAATAAAGATATGAAGACATTTAAAATTTATAGTCTTGACTATAAAAATTTTCAAACAACTGTTTAAATATGTATTTTTTTTTTTGAACCAACTAATAAAAAAATAATATCAAATAAAACAAAGAGAAATATTTAATATGCTTGAACAGTTCGTAAAAGTACACCTGAAACTAGAAAGCAAATATGAGGATGATAGAAAAGAAGAAAAGTACAGAAACATTAGCGCGTTAGGTAGAAATATTAATGCCAATCTTTCCTGTGGGCAATTGGTGAAGAACCTATTCATTCACCAACCCATACTTCCCTATACTTTTTCATCCGAAACCGCAGCCTCTGTTATCTCCATACAAACGCGTTATTTAAACGTCATTTTCCATCCTCTCAATTCCCAGCTAATTGCTTTCTTTAATTCCCTTCTTCGATCCTTCTTCCTTCCCTCTCTCAAACTCTACTTTCCACAACTATATATATATATTTATATATATATATATATATATATCCCACTCCGTCTCCCAATCTCAATCACAAGTCACAAACATCTCTTGCTCCATTTCTTCATATTAAAGTACAACAATGTCATTATCCTCTGCTTCCTCCAGAATTCCAAAAATGTTCCTTCAGCTCTCTGTTCTTGCAGTTTTCCTCCTATGCACTGCTTGTGCTGATAATTTCTACCAAGACGCGACTGTCACCTGGGGTGACCAGCGGGCTCACATACAAGAAGGTGGCCGTCTTCTAACCTTGTCTCTCGATAAAATTTCAGGCTCTGGCTTTCAATCCAAGAGTGAGTTTTTATTCGGAAGGTTCGACATGCAGCTCAAGTTAATACCTGGAAATTCTGCTGGCACTGTCACCACTTTCTACGTAAGCCACCTTCATTTAACTGTTATATATATAGGACATACATATTTGACACAATTTATTAACCTGGGGTGACTATTTGTTTTTGTAATCTGCAGTTGTCGTCTCAAGGAGCAGGGCACGACGAAATTGATTTTGAATTTCTGGGAAATTCATCAGGCCAGCCTTACACAGTTCACACCAACGTTTATTCTCAGGGAAAAGGCAACAAAGAACAACAATTTCACCTCTGGTTCGATCCCACCACATCGTTTCACACCTACTCTATCATTTGGAACGCTCAACGCATCATGTACGTTACAAATTAATTAACATCTTTGTAATCTAGTATATACAAAACATACTTCACTAGAAAACAATTTTTACTTGGAACAATTCATGTCTGACATTTTGGGGTTTTGTCTATTTCCAGATTTTTGGTGGATAACATACCAATAAGAGTGTACAACAATCACGAAGCACTTGGGGTTGCATTTCCAAAGAATCAAGCAATGAGAGTGTACGCTAGCCTATGGAATGCTGATGACTGGGCAACACAAGGCGGGCGAGTGAAAACGGACTGGTCCATGGCTCCATTCACAGCTTCTTACAGGAATTTCAATACAAATGCTTGTGTTTGGTCAGCGGCATCATCTACTTCATCTTGTGGAGGCTCTAAATCCACTGATTCAGCGAATAATGATCAGACATGGCAAACTCAAGAACTGGACGCTAATGGCAGAAATAGGCTTAGATGGGTGCAGCAGAAATACATGACATACAATTACTGTACAGATGCTCAAAGGTTCAATCAAGTCATTCCTCCTGAATGCAAGCGTTCAAGGTTTTAAGACCATCATGTGTTGCTGTCTAAAATTTCTCGTCTTTCTTTCTATTGCTTATTTAATTTGTTGTAAGTTATTAGGATAAAAAAGAACAGTGTAATTATTTGTGTAAGCAACTTAAATTCTTTATTCTTTTTGTAATCATGAAATAGAAATTACAATAATGAATCATTTTCAGCCAGAGGTACGTGTGGTGCTCGTACTATTTTCTAGGACCTTGTCACTGCATTGATTATTGATATTGCTTTTCCGGGTATATTTTCTGACTCGTGGCTCGCTGGTACTATCTTTCTGATTATGTTGTTGTTACTATTCTATTGTTGCATTTCATCTTCTTGTGCCGGAGGGTCTATTCGGAAATAGCCTCCCTACCCCAGGCTAGGGTTAAGGTATGCGTACATACTACCCTCTTCAGACTCCACTTGTGGGATTATACTGAGTTGTTGTTGTTGTTGTTGAATCATTTTCAGCCAGGGCTGCAAATCTATGTGTTTTAGTTTCCTACTTCGGGTCAGTTAAAGCCTTATTGTCTTTCGCTTATTTGTTCTACAAATGATCATAAATTTACCCTAGCTATTAGGCTACAGGGATGGACGAAAGAAAGAAATTCACGTTGTTGCTACAACTACTATTATTACATAGCCATTCATTTTAATACCAAAGACTGCAAGGGTCATTCTTGATGTTTAGAATGTCGCCAAAGAATGCATTTAAGGCCATAGCTTTTCCAGTTTTTGAATTGAATTTGGAGACAAACCCTTTAGATTAGGATCAAGATAGAATACTTGGAGTGCAAGTTTAGTGACGAGACCAGTGAAGCAGACGAAGATGTGAGACTTGATACACAAGTTATCCCTAAGAGAGATAGTTTCAAGTACCTTGGATCCAAGGAAATGGGGAGATAGACGAGGATGTTACACATCGTATTGGAGGGAGGGAGGTGAGTGGAGGCTAGCATCCGGTGTTTTATGTGATAAGAATGCGCCACCTAAACTTAATGGCAAGTTTTACAGAGTGATGGTTAGACCGACAATGTTGTATGGGGCTGAGTGTTGGCTAATCAAGAACTCGCATGTCCAGAAGATTAAAATAGCAAAGATGAGGATGTTGAGGTGGAGATTAGAAATAAAGATATTCGGGTCAGAATGGGAATGTCTCTAATGGAGGACAAGATGCGGGAAGCTACCTTAAATGGTTTGGGCATGTGAAGAGGAGAAACACAGATGCCCCAGTAAAGAGGTGTAAGATATTGGCGTTGGAGGGGCTGAGAAGAGGTAAAGGTAGACCGAAGAAGTATTAAGGAGAGGTGATTAGGCAGGATTATTTCATCTTAACGAGGACATGACCCTTGAGAGTGAGGTGTCGAGAATTAAGGTAGACGGCTAGTAGATAGTCGTGAGTATTAGAGTTAGTCTTGTATTCTATTATTGATAGATTTTTTAAGTATTACTTGTTCCTTTCATTTCGTTTTCTTACTATCTTGTTGGTGTTATTGCTTGGTGCTATTGCTTTTGTTCTCGTCTTTCGTGAGCCAATGGTCTATCGTAAACAGCAGTTCTACCTTCAAGATGAGACACACTACTCTCCCCATACTCCACTCGTAGGAAATGGGTTTGTTGTTATTGCAATAACAGATTAGAAACCTACATCCAAATTGTGCATCAGATATCTCAAGAAGGGGACAAGAAAGAAAAGAGAAACCTACAAAATAGACCAATAAGACCATCAGAAATGGATAAACAACGTCCACTAGTCACCGATAATAACCACCAGCCAATAGTCACCAATGACTACTTTCACGAAGTAAACAAAGATTTGAAAAAACAGATCAACTTTTCTATGACATGTCATTAGAGGGATCAGTTTCTTAAGAAGTGAAGTATACATAATTAACGCATTCCTACAAGGTATAAATTTCTCTGAAGAAATGTAGTAAAAGGTTAGTTTTCTTTGTTAAGGATCAAAATCAGAAGGTGTCATGCGGAAGCTAGTTAAAAAAATCTTCAACGACGATAAATCGACAACAAAAGAGAAATATAATAAAAGAGACACAAATATTTAACGTGGTTCGGTCAATTGAACTACATCCACGGGCGGAGATGAACAATCCACTGTATAAAAGAGAATACAAAATATCGAGAGAACAACCTCACAAAGAGGAACACACAAGTGGTAGGCTAACACGTGTCCCGAAATTCTCCTCCTAAACAAGACTCTCAAACCCATATATAGCTACATTGTGATGCCACTGAATGAGAAGGAAGTATCCTCAATTTATAAAAGTCTTTAACTTTTTCCTACAAGAAAAAGGACTAGCCAAATATGAGAGATTTATAATTTCCTTCTACAAGAAGGAAAACCCAATTATGCTAAATATGTTGTCCTTTCATTCAAGAGATACGAAAACCAAAAATGGTAAGAAAATCGAGACAAACAGCTAACATTTTTAACTTTGAAAGAAATAAAGCTTCCAACTAGAAAAAGAATCACTTTGCCAACTGCATTAAACCACTTCAATCATTTTCCAAGAGCTTAACTTAGCAACAATCAACAATAAGATGCAACCCTTGAAATTCAGTTTAGCGCCACAAACCCACCTCTAAGTACTCCGAACATCATAGCTGAAACCAAAGATGTTAGCCTCGTGTACTTACAACGTTTATTTGAAGATTTTCCTTCTCTTGCCCTTCTATTGAGCTGGAAATATTCACCAAGAAATTGATCTCACTTGGACTACAAAAAGTCAGGTTTCCAGGAGGAGATCAACAATTACAGCAGCCCTGGACAAGTACTCTGGATCTAGAAACAAACTTGAATGGAACAAGTAGCTCAAACTTTCGTGGCATTTGTACTGCCACAGTGACTTCTTACTATGTCAAACTACATTCTAATAACTTCGCTAGCAACACAATCACTAGTTAAAAGAGCTATTCATTCTTCCTACTTCTAAGTCAAGGCAACTATGACTTTCTCACGGTTATCATCTCAAGGTGCAAAACATGAGGACATTGATTTTGAGCTTTATGAAACTAATCAGCAACCAATGTTAACAGGGATGTCAAAGGTTGATGGTTAATTCAAGAAAAGGCTTCCCCGCCTAAGGATTTGCTCTTTACCACTACTAGATGTCATCCAGCAAATATAGAACAATTTGACACCCTTCTCCAACTTTGAATAATCAAAAACTCTAGCACAGACATCAGTATACTTTTCCTCCAAATTTTTAGCCTGAAAAGCTTTTATCTAGCGATGTCCAGCTCATATGTCAAACATCCTTACAAACTCACAAACTTAAGATTAACTGATCTTCACATAAAAGAGTTTAACAACAACAATAAATCAAATTTTGAAACAAATCCTAAAATCTTAATCAGAAAGTACATCATGCCCCTCAAACAACAACTTTTAATGATAACCATCAACCTTCACATATTTGCTGCCTTGCTTCATAGAGCATATATCTGTTTTAGAATCTGTATTTTAATAGTTGATGATGCTCTTCAATTTCAGTCATATTTCTGGCATGAGATACCAATGCTAGAATGAATTGAAGAGCAAAAACTACTCAGACAGTACGCCAGTTGAAAGTAATAAACCAAATTATCCTTTTGCAGTATCACACACCGGCAAGCTAATTGAGCGTTGATTCTCCACTGAATTAAATACATAGGTCAAAATTCAGAAAAGATAAAAAAGAGTAGCTTTAATATGCAAAAGAAAGTTTCTGCTTTATATCCCACCATGGGTATTTTCAACATATTACAAAGATTGGCAAGCTTTGCGGACCAGTGGCTTCATTCCCTACTTAAGTAACAATGTACTTACAAGATCAGGGTTCACATGTTCCAGGGAAAGTAAAGGAACAGTAAATTCAACCAGGTTTAGCTGTTGAACACCTCAAAATGTTTGAAGCAAGCTTTAATCCTACATATCTACTTGGCCTGCAGAAGTAGAAACCAAATAAAGGAACAGGGCATCAGGTCAAAACACTAGGAATTTGACAGTTGAGAAAGGAACACATTATTTTCAAAACACAGAGATACATTTGATCAAGTATCCAGAATGTACTGGCCTCCAATCTAGTGCAGGATGAACTATCAGCGGTATAACTAGTGCATAGCCTCATATTTAACTAGGTCAAAATCACTCCCCAGTTTTCCAGGTTCCTCCTACTGAAAAGCCAACAATAATCTTACATGATATTTGAGACCAAACAAAAATATGAAATGCTGCAATTTTCCTTTGGTTTAGGTTCTATCTAAGACACCTAGGACCTAGCACCATTTCCCAGTAGATCATCATTTTCCTATGAAATAAGTGGAGATAAAGTTAACTTTGTGAAGATTTGGACAATTTCTTTTTGCTAAAAAGTAATCTTGGCTAGAATATTTAAAATGTCGAATTGTTTATGGAGTAAATTTCCTTTTTGGGAAGTGGGGAAGATTCTATACAGAATAGAAACAAGTTAAGTTAATTTGGAATAAACAGACTACTTCTTCTAGTCCAACACATGACTGCAGTTTCGCCTCTACATTTGCCTCGTTAGTTCACTATTACCTTGGCTTAACATCTATACTTGCACCGGATTTTAATCAGGCCGCGCAACTCCCGTTTTTCCCATTTTACTACCTCTGATTGGTAAAAATACACATAATAAGCACCTCTACAAGATTGACCTAAGCACCTGAATCTCAGTTAACACATGACACATATCAAACCTTCTCTGCCTACATGCTAGTGGCTTCAAGTATACACAGTAGATAATGGGTTAAATAAGGAATTCTAATTGGAAAAGCGCACAGAACATGAGAAAATCCATGTTGAAACATGACAGAAGATCATCAAATTTCCATTCAGAAAAATACTTTCAAGAAATCAGCAAGATGAACAAAGGAAAACAAATTTTGAACCGTTTGTTATGGAGGAAAATGTTTTCCATTGGAAAATATATACAGTACCATTTTCTCCATATTGTACAAGTAGAATAATGTAAAGATACTGTTTTTAGCTCTGATTCTGTGGACTAAATTAAAACAAGTAAGCGATATAAAGAAGGAATTGGAATACATGTAAAAGAAAACAACTTTCAATTTTCCATTTTGGTGGAAAATACATATGCTTAACTGACTCTGTCCATTTTCAGAAGCTTAAGAAAGAACAAATAGAAGAGACCCAAATGAAAGCTTGCTAAGTATAATTACAAGAAAAGCACACTAGTAGTTTTGTTACCTTAAGGGAAGGAAAAACCACCTACGGAGAAAATGTAGTAGCAATGCCATGGCCATAAACTTGACTAGGTAAGAACCCTAATTAGTCTCAATAGTTTTCCACAGTGAAGGAGAAAAGACAGAGTAAAAAACTTGCATTCAAAAGGATTTTCTGACGCAACCCCTTTTATATAACACACATACACACACACCATCAGAGGAGAAAGCTCTGTTTCTTGTCTTTATTTTTTGTCTTCTTCTTTTAGAGGCAGTCCCAAGACTGCTCTATATTTCTGATGTTTCTGTGGGTTTAAGAAGGGGTTTCACACAGGCGCACGAATTACGATGAAGACAAAGCTAGGTTGATGGGCACGGGTTCGCGCGGTACAAAAAATATAAATAAATTTCTATAAAGATTAGCAGATTAATAACAAAGTTATATATTATCTTTTGTTTTTGTTGGTGTGAGAAGGAAACGCTTATAAATAACATGTATTTGATTTAATTCATTAATAAGGTTTTTTTTTAAAGTCCTTTTCAATTACCAATATAATTTTAAATATTCTTATGGGAACAAAAAGGTTATTTTGTTGTAATTATTATTAGATTAATTTATTGTGAAAGAAAGAAAAATTATAATGAAATTGTTTTATTCTAGTTTAAGTAATTTTATTTTTTAGAACTCCATTAAATTTAATGTTGAAAATTTTGAATGGTTAAAATATCTTAATATATTTGGTTAATATAGATTAATTGAGATAAATAGTTCTTTATTTTCGGTATATGTATATATAAATATGTCTTGAATAATTATCTCCCCTGTAGAAATTTTAAAAATAGAAAGGAAAAAGGTTTATCAAAATAGAAAGGAATAAAAGAAGAACGCAATACCAAATTGCTTTCTTCAATGAATCAGTTGTCAAAATTTTCTATTTTAGTTTTAATTTCTTTTTCTGTCACGACCCTATTTTTCGTACGATGTCGTGATGGCAGCTAGTCTCTAAGACTAGATAAGCCTAATATTTTTGCGGAATCAATGAATAATAAACTGAATTTCCATCTCAACACACGATATATAAATATAAAACTGTCATTCAATAATTACAACTCCCAAAATCCGGTGAAAACAAGTCATAAGCTTCTAAGAGCAAATACTAAGTATCTCTATACATCAGAGTTTAAAGAAAAATAAGAAAAATAACATAGTAAGGATAGGGGGACTTTGAGGTCTGCGGGCACTGACAGATATACCTTGAAGTCACCACGAGCGATCCAACTCACTGATATATGGGCTGGTGGGAAGAACCTGAATCTGCACAAAAGATGTGCAGAGTGTAGTATGAGTACGCCACAACGGTACCCAGTAAGTGTCAAGCCTAACCTTGGTAGAGTAATGACGAGGTCAGGTTAAGGCCCTATTGGTTTAAAAGAAAAATAAGGCAGAAGATATAATAATATTTTGAAATGGCTGAGAATTTAAACAATAATAAGTTTTAGAAAATATCAGCACAATAATTAGAGGTACACAGCAGGGGCACTCCCGAGGTACCGCCTCGTAGTCCCAAATGTAAAGATGCAGTACAAGGGAATCTCCCGAGGAACCGCCTCGTAGTCCCAAAGTAAATATGTAGTACAAGGCGATCTCCCGAGGACCGCCTCGTAGTCTCAAAGTAAATATGCAGTACAGGGGGGGTCGCCCGAGTAAACGTCTTGTAGTCCCAAAGTAAATATGCAGTACATGGGGATCTTCCGAGTAAACGCCTCGCAGTCCCAAAGTAATTATGGAACAAGTAATTGAAGGAAACACGAATTTTCAGCAAGAATCTTACAATTAAAGATTTAATTCAAATCAAGTAAAGCAGGTAATTCAACTAAGCATGTTGCACATATTGCAAGTAAGAGTTAAGGCACGTAGACATGTGATACTAAGCTAAACATGATCACTACATATGCTAAGGCAACTCAGTTAATGTATTTTAAAAGAAGACAACTCCGTTAATGAAATTCAAAAGATGACAAATCAGCAAGAACCGAATTTTCCATATTCAGCCCATGTATGCACTCGTCACCTCGCGCACGCGGCGCTCACATATCACAAATGGTTACAACATTTCCAAAACCTAAGGGGATTCCCCTCCCCCACAAGGTTAGACAAGTCACTTACCTCTAATGTCACTCAATCAATCGGTAAGAATGCCTTTCCCTCGACTTTTCAACTCTGAATGACCCAAATCTAGCCAGAAGCAATTTCATAACATGAATACAATTACAAGAAACTAATTTAAATCATAAATCTTAAAAATCGTCCCAAAATGTCGTCCCGGTCCCACGTCTCGGAATCGGGTAAAAGTCACAAAATACAAACACCCATTCCACTACGAGTTCACCCATACCAAAATTATCAAAATCCGACACCAAGTCACTACTCAAATCCCTAAATTACACTTTTCAAATCCCTAGCCTCAAACTCTCACATTCCACCTTAAACACACATAATCTAGATGGGAAAATCAACGAAGAAACAAGATTATTGATCAAAAATAAGCACAAGGGACTTACCTCAAGAAATCCCTCAAACATTCTCTCAAAAATCGCCAAACCCGAGCTCAAATGTCCAACAAATGATAAAAATACCGAGCCCTTGAATTAATAGAATTTGCCCAGGTTTTCCGCTTTTGCGGACCAAATTCTGCTTCTGCGGTGAAGTCTCCGCATCTGCGGTGTTCACTTAAATCCCTAGGTTCCGCACCTGTGCGCAAATCTCCGCATCTGTGGATGCGCTTCTGCGATCCCTCGTTCGCTTCTGCGGAAGCCTCCCCAAGCACTCGCCCGCTTCTGCGATCGATCCCCCGCTGAAGCGACTTCGCTTCTGCGGCCCTCACACCGCACCTACGACCACTGGCCAATTCCCTTAGCCCAGCACCTGCTCCCCATTGCTCGCACCTGCGGTCAGCCTTGCGCAGGTGTGATTACACCAGAATCAGCCCAGCACCAGAAAATCTTCTAAGTCCAAAAATGATCCGTTAACCATTTCAAACTCACCCGAGACCCCCGGAACCTCAACCAAATATACCAACTAGTCCTGAAACATCACACGAACTTAGTCGAGCCTTTAAATCACCATCAAACAATGCCTAAAAATATGAATTACACATCGATTCAAGTATAATAAACTTTAAAACTTCAAACTTTTACATCCGATGCCGAAACCTATCAAACCAAGTCCGATTGACCTCAAATTTTGCACACACGTCATAATTGACATTACGGACCTACTCTATCTTTTGGAATCGGAATCCAACCTCGATATCAAAAAGTCCACTCCCAATCAAACTTCTCAAAAATCATCTTTTTTCCAGCTTTCGCCAATTAGCACTCAAATGACCTACGGGCCTCCAGTTCAACATTTGAACACGCTCCTAAGACCAAAATCACCCTACGAAGCTATTGGAACCGTCAAAACTCTATTCCGGGGTCGTCTTCACACTGTTCAAACTAAAATCAATTCCTATGACTTAAACCTCTATTTTAGGGACTATGTGTTCCATTTCGCTCTGAAACCAAAACAAATCCTCCCGGTAAGTCACAAAACCCAAAAATGAATTAGAGGGGGTAGTAAATAGGGGTTCAGGGCTAATTTCCTCAAAATGACCACCCGGGTCGTTACATCTTCCCCCTCTTAAAATATACGTTCGTCCTCGAACGAGTATTGAGACATACTTGAAGTGGTGAAAAGATGAGGATAACTGATGCGCATATCATGCTCGGTCTCCCAAGACACCTCCTCAATCAGATGACCCCTCTACTGAACCTTCACCGAAGCGATGTTCTTCGACCTCAACTTTCAAACCTGCCTGTCCAAAATGGCCACTAGCTCCTCAACATAAGATAGGTCCTTATCCAACTAGACTGAGCTGAAGTCTAACACATGAGACAGATCGTCGTGATACTTCCGGAGCAAGAAAACATGGAATACTGGATGAACTGCAGAGAGACTATGTGGTAGTGCAAGTCTGTAAGCCACCTCTCCAACCCTCTCATGGATCTCAAAAGGTCTGATATACCTACGGCTCAACTTGCCCTTCTTTCCGAGCCTCATGACACCCTTCATGGGCGAAACCCGGAGTAAGACCCGCTCCCTAACCATGAATGCAACGTCGCAAACCTTCCGATCCGCATAACTCTTCTACCTGGACTGGGCTATATAAAGTCGATCCTGAATCAATTTAACTTTCTCCAAGGCATCCTGAACCAAGTCTGTACCCAATAGCCTTGCCTAGCCCGGCTCGAACCAACCCACTGGAGACCGGCACCATCTACCATACAAAGCCTCATACGGTGCCATCTGATTGCTCGACTGATAACTGTTGTTGTAGGCAAACTCCGCAAGTGACAAGAACTTATCCCAAGCACCCCCAAAATCAATCACACACGCACGAAGCATATCCTCCAATATCTAAATAGTGCGCTCCGACTGTCCGTCCGTCTGAGGGTGAAATGATGTACTCAACTCCACATGAGTACCCAAATCACGTTGTGCGGTTCTCCATAAGCGTGATGTAAACTGCGTACCCCGGTCAGAGGTGATAGATACTGGTACGCCATAAAGCCTGACAATTTTGCGGATGTAAACCTGAGCAAGCTGCTCTGAAGAATAAGTAGTAACCACAGGAATGAAATGAGCTGACTTGGTCAATCTATCCACAATCACCAAAACTGCATCGAACTTTTTTCGAGTACGTGGGAGCCCAACAACAAAATCCATAGTGATCTGATCCTATTTCCACTCTGGAATCTCTATCTTCTAAAGCAATCCACTCGGCTATTGATGCTCACACTTTACCTGCTGACAATTTAGGCAACGAGCTACATATTTCACTATGCCCTTCTTCATCCGCCTCTATCAATAGTGCTGCCTCAAATCCTGATACATCTTCACGGCACCTGGGTGATTGGAGTACCGCGAACTGTGAGCCTCCTGGAGGATCAACTCATGCAAACCATCTACATTAGGCACACATAGCTTGCCCCGTATCCGTATTACACCGTTATCTCAAATAGTGACTTCCTTGGCATCACCGTGCTGAACCGTGTCCTTAAGGACAAGCAGATGGGGGTTATCATATTAACGTTCCCTGATACGATCAGTAAGAGAAGACTGAGAAACCACACAATCCAGAACTCTGTTCGGCTCGAAAACATCCAATCTGACAAACTGGTTGGCCAAGGCCTGGACATTCAAGACTAAAGGCCTCTCTGCTATTGGTAGATATGCTAAACTGCCCAAACTCTCCTCCTTGCGACTCAAGGCATCGGCCACCACATTGGCCTTCCCGGGATGATAGAGAATG